GGTTGTTGTTGTAGGTTTGGAGAAGTTTGAGAACCCCAACTTTAAATGTTATCCAGAAATAAATTAAGCTTAAGATGTTACACATAATTTTTACGTAAGACACTCCCTGTTATAATTGACAGTTACAGCAGAGAACCAGACAACAAAACAATATGAGAATGAGGTTAGGTGCATATAAAGAACCCATTGAAAACCTTTGGATCATTAGTTTAATTGAAATTACATCACGAGTTACTGTGTATCTCAGAAATGATGAGTATCAGAATTTACTGGCTTTATAACAGATTTTATGTCTTTATATCAGTGAAGTATGCAATGACGGAACTTCTGAGCAGAGCTAATGACACGAAAGAATTTATAGACACACAATCTGAAACGAGTAACGTCGTTTGTGGTATGTGTATTAGATTGCTGACACCTGAGATTCTCATGTCATTGATCTTCTGGGTTGTCTTACCATGTGGATTTGTAGGTGGGTATCAGAGTTCAGATGAACGTACGTCCTCCAACTTCAGGGCTATATTAGATAAACTGGCTGAGGACAGATTCTTCACGTTCTTGTTGTCTTTGTAATATGTAGTACACAATGGCTTATTTTAACAGAAATTTGAATGGAGCTGAATGGTCTTTCAGACTTTATCCAAGAAGCTGTTACTGCTGGCGTTGCTAGTGGTGATGATAACACCCATTTCAATAATATGTCATATGTCATGTTTTGATGTTTGTTCTAAAACTAAATTTCTTTGTATGATATATAGGTGGTGACAGAATTTTGTTCTGTGACTCAGCTGCATGAATTTGTTCTTGTTGCAGATGGCCAAGTCAGCATTGTGGTGTTTATGCTTGCCCGTCCTCCTGTTCTTGCTGCTAGTACCACAGGATGTCTCCTGTGCCAGATTCCTGGTCATTATTCCCACTTCTGTGAAGAGTCACTTTCTCATGCTAGAAAAATACATGAAGGCTCTTGCTGATCGGGGGCATGAGCTGGTGGTGGTCAGTCGCTTCCCGCAGATACAACCTATATCAAACTATGTCGATATTGTGTTAGAGGGTTCCCTTAATGGATCCAATCCAAAATATACCTTATCCATAGAGCAGGCCCTGTTCATAAAGAACCCTGTAGTAAATGCCATGAGTCTTGCCAAATATGGAGCACTTAACTGTGGAGCAGTACTTAATGATCCATCAGTCAAACAACTCATAAATTCAGATGAGAAATTTGATGTTGTTGTCAATGATTGTTTTCACACAGATTGCTTCTTGCCTTTTGCATACAAGTTTGGAGCAATAAGTATATGTGCCAGCACATCTGTGTTAATGCCATGGGCTAATGACCGGATGGGCAATCCAGACAATCCATCATACATCCCAAATCTCTTCACGTCTTATTCGGAACGAATGAATTTTGTTGAACGGGTCATAAATGCTGTAACCACAGTGCTACACAAAGTAGCGTATCACTTCATCTCTGACTGTCCATCGCAGCTGTTGGCACGCAAGTTCTTTGGAGAGGACACTCCTGACCTCGCTGATCTTGCCAGGAACATAAGTTTGTTGCTGGTGAACAGCCACTTCAGTGTAAATGCGCCCAGGCCGCTGGTACCCGGTGTTGTTGAGATTGGTGGCATGCATATCCCCAAGCCTAAACCACTGCCTCAGGTTAGATGATTATTAATGACCCCAGTTCCATTCTAATGTCGTCCAGTTAGAAGGAAGGCATTTGATAGTTTCCTTAACTCGTGGTTTGTCTTGAATTGATAGAATTTGTAATGGAAATTATAGAGAAGTAACTCCTAGCACATATTATATTTAAAGAAACTGTACATATTGTATTTTATACTTTTTACAATGCATCTATATTAAAGTATGACAGAAACACAGTATGGTATCCTCTAAAAATTTGCTGGGTTACCATTTCTGACCTCAGCTGTGATTCACAATACTAAAGACAGAGGGAATCGATCTTAAAACTTAAGAATCAACATGCTTAAATAAGTACACATTTAATATATAAACATACAAAGTACTGTACAACATTCAGTTAAGTATTGATACACATATTTGAACTTGTATGAAGATTGCTGTCTTCTGGGTTGTAGCACTGTGTAGTCTGGCAGAAGTTACAGATGTTTCAGAGGTGCTTGCTGTCTACATCATCAGGGTAATGAATAACACAGAAGACAGCCATCTTTATACTCACCTGTCATGAATCTGAATTCCTATGTTTTAATTTATTTACCATACATTACAATTTTTCCAGTATATAATTTTGGTGTAAGTTGATCAAATTACAAAATTTAGGTATAAGACAATTGAAAACTGTGTGTAACCTGTACTTGAAATATTATTCGACAGAAGTAAAGAAAATTATCCATATAATTTCAGCCCCTACAAGATTACTTAGATGGAGCGCGTCATGGGGTTATCTACTTTAGTTTTGGTTCATTGCTTCAAGCGAAGTCATTCCCTGATGATAAGAGGTTCCTGCAGGCATTCTCTGAGCTACCACAGCGAGTCCTCTGGAAGTGGGAGGGAGATACTCTGCCAGGACAGCCTGAGAATGTCCAGATCGAGAAATGGTGTCCACAATCTGATATCCTAAGTAAGAGTACTACAAGCTTTATGTATCCATCCATCCATCCAGTGGCTCTACAGCCCATATTGGGCCTTTGCCGTCACAATTTTCTGCCTCCATGAAGATCTATTATTTGCGTCCATTTTCCAATTTTGACATTGGCTCAGACCGGCAGCATCTCATCTCACAGCATCTTCCAACCTTCCTCTAGGTCTTCCCACAGTTCTTGTCCCTTCAAACTTAGCATTTAGGACTTTCTTAAGGGTTCTTGTGCCATCCATCCTTTGAATATGCCCCACCCATTGCAGTCTTTTTAATTTAATGTACGTTACTGTGCTTGTATGTAAAAATATGGAAGGCACTTGTGATAATTGGAAAGTGAGAGAAGACGAGGTGCTTCAAACATATGAAGTTGCTGCTGTGTACACGCACACAAACACACCATACACACACCCAACAGTTGTGCAGTGATGACTTGTGCGCTGTTCAAGGAGTTCCTGACATGTTTGGAAAGGAGAGTGCCTGTCAAAAACCAGAAGATTCTGCCATTCTTAGAACAGTGTGCAGAATACCCCAAAGATACAACTAAATTAAGAAATGCACGAGTATAATTTCTGCTTGCCAACATTATATAGTTCTCCTACAACCAATGGACAAAGGGATAATCTGATCTTTGAAACAAATATCATAGGCGCCTTGTTTGCAAATTCCTGCACAGAGTCACAGTCACTAATGAATACAACAAAGTATCTTTTTTTTGGTATCATATCCATGCTTCCAGCATCATGGAATGCTGTCAGTTGGACACGATTGCAGATTGTTACTGGAAGGCTGGATTCTGTGAAACATCAGAAACCTCACAATGAAGAAGCTGCTGGCTCAGAAATAAGTCCAATCATCTGGGAAGATTTTAAGGTGAAGATGAATGTGTCTAAGCACTGGTACTTTGAAAACAGTAATGTTAAGCACACATGGTATAGCCGCTTCAGGGTAAGGAAGTGTGACTGCTGCAAATAAAATAGCTCACACATTGTGCTCCTGTATAATTTTAGATTCAATTTCTGAACTGTCTGTTTGTGGTGGAAGCGTTTCTGTATTTTGAATCTGTTTACGTTTCAAATACGATTAGAAGTATGAAGCTGACATTAAGGAATGATTCATGCCACATTGCGTTAAACCTGATCTGTGTGCAGACTGCCATGGAAATTTTCAATTGATGATTACACCCATGGTGCAAAGCGAGATTTAGAAGCATATACCACCTCCATCTTCAGGATATGAGTCTACTCTTCTACTCTTAAGATGACCAGTTTTTATTAATTGTGAACTTGTGTAAAATTTCAGAGGTTATAGTTTTATGAACAGACGTACAACATGGTGTGCCACCTATAATAAGTTTAAATATGCTAGATAATAAACCACTGCTTGTGTTCTCCATTTTGTTACATTCTCTGGGGAAGATGGAATGTTTTGAGTACAATATCGAATTACATGGGCAGATGTTGACGTCTCTGTGGTGGTATCGACAACTTTCTGTACTTTCAGGGCACCCAAATGTGCTTGCTTTTGTGTCACACGGAGGATTACTGGGTACCCTAGAGGCAGCGTACAATGGAGTGCCTGTGGTAGGTATTCCGTTCTACGGTGATCAGAGAAGCAATGTGGCACACCTGAAGGCGAGGGGGATGGCCATCCAGCTGCAGTACGAAAACATTACAAAGCAAAGTGTGCTGGAGGCACTCCGGACTGTGCTTGACCAGCCCAGGTAATGAACATTACGCATTTGTAGCTGTTTACAAGCCAAGAGTTCCAATCTTAGGGTTTAGTCCATTTTGAAATTATTGTGTACAAATCATGGTCAGTTCTTACAGTGTCCTGAAAGAGCAGGATGAAAACGAATGCAAGTCTTGTGTAATTTTATGTTAAATCTGAGAAAAATCTTAACATCTGCTTACTTCCTTCTTTTAAATGCAATTTGTGTTTCTTCTTGTGTGGAAGAACATCATTATGACCTGCATTAAGGAACTATTGCAGCATTCATCTGAAGCAGTTGATAAAAAATGACAAAAACTTCCTTAGCCAGTATACTGAATCCTACACTTGCTGAATATAAGTCAGATGTGTTACTGTTGTGCTAATCCACTCATTGACTTTAGTCAGGCTATGAATCTATTGTTTGAATTGTAACCTTCAAAGGATTTAGTATGGAGCTGCTGAATGACCTTGACCTGAGGGAATAAGAAATTTCGACTATTGTGGCATATGGAATGAAGTGAAATATGTTCATTGCTGTCTAATTAACATTTACGAGTTTCTTGTTTCACAGCTATATAGAGAATGCAAGACGCACGGCGCGTATCTTCCGTGACAGACCTCAATCTGCCCTGGACACTGCCATCTTTTGGACTGAGTATGTAATGAGACATGGCGGTGCACCACATCTCCGCTCTGCAGCCGTGGAACTGGCATGGTACCAGTACCTACTCCTAGATGTCATCGCGTTCACACTGGGAACTATCCTGATATTTATCCTTGCAGTCAGAAAATTTTTTAGAGTGCTATGTAGCTCCAAGAACGTTCTAGTGAAGAAGAAACAGGAATGATGTACCAGATTTTGTTCCCGTAATGAAAGTGTGGATATTCTAGTAATCAATGTATGTGATATATTTTTTTAAGGTTGTTGTGTTTGATAAATTTGAAACCTGTACTTTGATATATTTTTTTGTAATGGGGTGAAAGGGCATTTTAGTTAATATCTAGCCAAAGCATGACTATTAAACAATCTCTGGCCAAAGCATGACTATTAAACAATCATTGACTCCAAAATATCTGGAACAGTTTTAATTGAATATTTATTGTATGGGAATACGTGATTTAAATCCCTGTATTATTTGGCTGTTGCCTGGATTTTAGTTTTGAGGTTAAGTATTTATCAGGAAGTTACAGTGACTAATGGCCATCTGAATCACAAGTAGAGAGCAAAGCACAATGCAAGTAATTGGAACAGAATTAGTTCTTGCTCTGTCCAGTGTACTGGAAAAATAATATTTTATGATGTAGCGATAATTCTTATTAAATAATTCATAATGGCATTCACAGTATCTGTTTAACAGTAAACAAAATTTTATTAGCCTCTGTAGTGTATGTTAAATTGTAAAGAAATTTTTCTTAATCTTCTGCAATTTTGTTTTCCTTGCTCCTGCTTCCTGTGTTACGTACCCATCCCATCTGAAGAGCTTTATATAATTATGTTTGTATATTACCGGTTTTTGTCTTTCTCAGTTCTTCAGCTTATTGTTTATTGGAACTACTTTGTCATTTTCATGGCTTGTTTAATGGAATTCAAGGAAATTTGTAAATAATTCACCTGTGTAAGTTGAGAATAAATTCTGCTTGCTTCAGGAAACCAAAAAATAAGTGTGTTGGAAATAATAATATGTGAGGCAGGCTGCGATGGCACTTGAAATTTTCATGATGGTAACGAGAATTTTAGTATTTTGATCTAAGTTCCATAAAATTGTGTGACATTTTCAAATTCTCATCATGTAGTTAGATTGCATTGTGTATGTCACAGCTGCAGTGTTGGTGAATACATTTTAAGGGAATGTTGGTGTTACGTGTGGAATGTTATTTCAATTTGTAGGTGTGTGCATGGGGCATTAGTTTATTAGGAAGGCAAGATTTGCTGGAGAAGCAGATGTACTTGCTGCTAGCCACTTTTCAGGTGACTCCATCCACAGATTACCATCTTAGAATCTGACACCAGAGCAAATGGCAAAGAATGGACTTGTGCTGTGAAACAACTTACAGCCAATACAGGCATCGATGGCATGAGTTCGACAAGGTCGGACTGCTCTCGGAAGGAAGTTTACACGTTTCGAAAAAGGGATGAGCACGTTTCAAACAAATGTTTATTTGTGGAGATGTCTAAATTATGTAGCACTCGTTGATTGTTACTCCCAATTCCTGACGAATTCAGTGTTTATGGCCGCACATGTGTGGTTTGTCAATTACGTATGGTAGCTAATTCAGTATAGTGACTGGCTATGGACTGGACAAAAGGGATTCGATCCCCGATGGGGGCAGAGGATTTTTTCTGTAGCCTCTGTGCCCTGACCAGTTCTGAGGCCCACACAGCCTCCTACCCAATGGGTACTGGGGACCTTTCCTAGGGGTAAATCGTGACTGGGGCGTGGTGCTGACCACTCACCCCCATCTAGTGCAGAGGTCGAGACTGAATAGGAGCTTTTCCATCCCCCCCGAGGCCTTCATGGCGGATAGTGGGACAGCTTTCTTATTGTTTGCATTACTTCAGAGTATTATGAAATAGTATTAAAAACTTCATGATCTCAGTACCGTTCCTTAATACATTCGCAAACACACTCCCGATGTCTAGTGTTTCAAATGTTTTCTTTGGGCACTCTAGCGCACTATGTGGTTGTAGGGCCTGCCTCTAGCCATTATCTACAATATAGTTGAAAGTCAAACCAGCACTTGATGAATCTGTGACTGGCCAATGCTCAATTGTGTCCATGTGCAACTAAAGACGAAACATACATGCACATAATAGATGTGAAATACTATTCACCAAGTAACTTTCGTACGCAGAAATGGTGTTACCTAGGAAGGGACGATGTATTGCGCTTGCGCAGGACTCCGCCGTAATTTAGCTTTTTGGTTTGTTGGTTGGTGTAGTTTAGTCAGTATAGTGACTGCGGACTGGACGAGCAGGGTTCGATCCCCACAGGGGCAGAGGATTTTTCCTCAAGCCTCTGCTTCCAGACCAGCTCTGGGGCCCACCCAACCTCCTGTCCAATGGGTACCAGGGTCTTTTCCCAGGGGTAAAGCGCGGCCGGGGCGTGGCTCGTAGAGAGGACGCAGGTAAAAAGAAGAGAGGGTGGAAAGGACAAAGGGTTTGACCAAGAGTGTGTCTCAGCATGTAGAGTGTAACTAAAACAGTTTCCCTCATTTAATTTTGACACAGTCTGATTGTTGTGAACAAAAGTGACGATAAAACATTAGCGATGTACGCAGCACACTCCTTTACCCCACGAGCGCTCCTTCTCCATCCGAAAGTAAAAGGAGAAATGGTTTGTCTCTTCTTTTGTGCTATGCATTCGCGATCTTCCCCTCCCATCCACGTGTCTGTTGTTAACGATCAACCAAGCTCGGAGTTATGTTGCGGCCACTGTAGTGGAAGTTTGCAGTTATTTTACGCTTACTGTACAGAAAATGGCTTGGTTTTCCGATTTCCGGTAATCCAGGCCTTAAAGTTTTTCACACACGTTTAAAAATTATGAGGAGCCTGGCGTTTACCGTAATCACAGATTCTGAATTAAAAGTATAGTTCAAATGCCTTTTTTGAAAGGCGTAGTTTTATATATTTTAGACTTAGGAATGAAGTGCCCATATGCAGAAAAATATACAATTTTTAACACAAGGACGTGGCATTAAGATAAAGAATACAAAGTCAACAAAGTATATAAACTGGTCTAACAATCGCACAGATAATTTCTGAAGTGATAGAGTAGCGTGTAGTGAGTGCACCTCTAATGTGTTCTGCGGGTGTTGCGATAATATTCTAGATTAAATCACTGTGCCACTGTGAGGTAATCTTAAAGCTGTACCCATTAGAACACATGAAAACCTGTCGTCTGTTGTTCGTTCAGTGGTTGTGGAACGAATGCTTTTAGGAAGGGTCGTCACTCACCGCGAAATCTTGCGCATGCGCGTTTAACGAATTCCTAGCAGGGATTTTCTCCTGATCTGTGGACTGTACTCTTGCTTCGCAATTTTCCCTTCCTCTCGCACGTACACGTAGTCGAATCTCGGCACCTTCAAATGCATTGAACGACAAATTTTAACTATTTTTCCGAATTATATTTTACCCCTTTCACATACTCTCAGTCACTGATGCCGAATCTAGGAATAAATATTCTGTAGCAAGCAAGGTTTTCGAGAAATAAACAGATTTTCTCATGTTTAGGAATTTAGTCAAATTTATTTACTAACATTACACAGGTAACATAGAAAATGTGAGGTTGTCGTAGACTTCCATAAGGTCTGTTGAAATCCAAGAAATCCAGATTAGAGCGAAGGAAGTGTATTTTGAGCTACATATTGCACCCCCATTATTCTATAGGCTTCAAGCAATTTTCTGAGCTAGCTGTCTGTAGCTGCCCATTTTGGGGTTATCCAAACAGTTGCCAAAAACCAATCTGAATGTTTCTCAACTGTCTTCTTAGTTACTTTTAGGGCTTCATCATATTTCCTGTCATTCATAGGATGCTTTATCTGAGAACAGGCGAAGATACCTTCTTGTATTTTTAAAACATAACAGCCTTCAGACTTGACTGTAAAGAATAAATAAACAGTCGCTAATCTTCTGGATCATGTACATGCCCTACTGCCCTCATCATCAATGCTGATGAAGGACGAAGCTCTTTTTCTAGAAGATTCCATCCTTGTGTTCTTAAGGTGACAAGCGTCTATTGCACTGAGGATGCGCTAATATGCACAGGGTCGCCAACAAAGCAAAACAAAACTTCCCGTTACAAAGAAAAATACCTCAATAACTAACAAAGTTACAGCCTATTTCACACGGGGACACGCAGTATTTGTTTAATACTGATAATAAACTATAAAAGAAGGATAAGAAGCTGGGCTTACCTTAGACAGAGTCTTGGCCGGTTTCATGTGTATTCCGCCCACCTCAACAATGCCAGGGACCAACGGACGGGGTCTGTTCACACTGAAGTGGTTGTTGACAAAGATGAGACTCGTGTTTCTGGCGAGGGTGGACAGGGCTGGGAGAGATTCACCGAAGTGTTTCTTAGCGATTTTATGAGCCCGTGGGTCCATTAGAAATGAATAATGAAGTTTATGAAACAAATACCAGAACGTGTTTGAGAATCTTTCAGTGAAGTCCATTCTATCCGAAGACGCCACGAACTGTGTCGGAATATACGCGGGGTTGTCCGGGTTTCCGACCCTGTCTGGGGTCCACGGCATAAAAACACAGGAACTGAAGCCGATTACAGGAATCTGAAATCTGTGTGCAAACGCTAAGAAACAATCGGTATTAAACGTTTCAGTTATGAGCAAGTCGAATTTCTCGTCTGATTTTATGAGTTTTTGAACATCCGGATGTTCAAATGCATTCTCACACACCTCTGCAGCCCATGCACTCAGCACAAAGGCGCTCACAATCTGGTCCATTTTGGCAATGTCTGCGTAAGATAAAATGTTCACTGTTTGGTTAACTTTTGTTATGGCTTTTAGGTCAATGTCTTTGTAATTGGGTGTTGGGCGTTTTCTTGGGAAGTGGCTGATTACAAGGAGCTGATGTCCTTTGGCTGCGAGTTGCTCCAGGTACGGTTCGAATACGTCGAAGTGACTTCTTCCCAAATGGCTGAAGACCACCAGTATCTTGGAGTTTTCAGCTGTATGCAGAAGGCCGAGTCCAATTAAGACGAGCGTTAAACATTTCCTGACAGCGAAATTCATTTCTGAAGACAACCCTTCACCGTTCGTGTTAGAAGCTCAGATGTTTTCGTCCGATTGCACAAAAAGGATGGGACGTGTTTTTCGCAGTTGTTTACAGAATATGAAACGAGAATTTCAAGGGCAAGTAAGAGGGCTTTACTTATTTCACTTATTCACTCGATTTCATAAACAAATATTCACTTTGTACGGAGTTAACGGTAAATAGTGATGAGTTGTCGATAATCGCAGATCAGCTGTTGCTCCTTTGTCACTTCTTCAGAGTTTAATTCGCTGAATTTTTCACTGATTGCAGTTCCTTTGTCAGTCGACCGAGGTTTTTAATGAAGTTCGCGGTGCAGCGATTATAATTAGACAACACCTAGCATGTAGGTGTGTTATGTCTGTTCCGCACTGATGGATCAAATCACTATATCGATATCAGCTCGAAGAGTCGCAGCTTCGAACACGACGTTCACGGAATACTTGTGACGCCGAAATGTTACTACTACGTCGTATACAAATACGATAGAGTTATCGATGGTGGTAGCCGGTCTAATTTTTGTTTTCAGTTCATGGTCGCCTTGCAATGCCCCGCCTAGCTATTTACCAGCAATCATAAGCTGTTATCATGAATAGTGGAAGGTAATTTCAGGGCTGTCAAATCTCATAATTCAAAAGTCGAGTGTCGGTTCTCTTGGTTCGAAGTGTCGAAAACCCCGGTTTTAATTTTTCAAGGAAACGCCACTGATCAAATTAACCAAGCATTAGGGTCTGATACAACACAACATAATGTAACATGACAGACGGCAGTCGCCCGAGATTCAGACCAGCACGTTCAGTTTTGCTAGTGAATTATGCATTAATCTTTATCATCCTGATATTTCAGTTCCTGCAACCCACGCAGTTCTGTAATTAGATACATTCGTCTCTTCTCAGCCTTTTAAATTATGTTTTGCTCTGTGTAGAACTACCCGTTTTATTTTTTATTCTTTAAATGCTTTCAGTACCATTATGCCACATAATCTCTTCTTTGCTTTCGTATTTAACTGTTTTAAGTGTCAAGTCCAGGGACCAAAGAAATTCGTGGAGCAGAGTAACTGAGAAGCTAACGAACGCTCAGGTAGTGAAGATATTCTGCCTGCATCTGGATGCCAGATAACTTGAAAGTTTCAAGAATCTTGTTTTTACTCAGTTTCTCAAAGCAAGTATCTGGTTAGTGCCTTCAACCACGACGGTCTCTTTCAGAATCCGTAACTACAAATTCATCAACCGCTCTCATTCGCGGTGATAAATGCATGCAGTTGAAACAGTGCCGTTAAAATACCAAAGCAGCAAACAATCGACCCAGAAACTGCTTTTACAGCAAGATAAGTAACTGTTAAACAAAATGACTTAAGACGGGCTATACCGACTGGCTTTTTTTGTGATTTTATTCAGTCACTCCACTCAGCTACTAGGTAAAGCAGTTTTAAACGAGGCACTTAATTGAACATCCTTCCCAGTGCATCATACACAATGAGCACAGTGCATTTGGGAAAAAGTCTAAGTAGAAAGCGAAGGACAAAATCGGGAAGGTCAGAACGACGAAATGATGTCATTGACTTGTAAGTGGAAAACGTTTCTGATCGGACTGTACTGCCAACTCAGACATAGAAATGACTGGAAGAACCAAGTTGGAGGAACGAGGAAAAGATTCAACTGCCCTCACTCTGAAGACGGAATGTGGAAACCTTTTCAGTGACAGTTGACTGTCGCGCCCGCGTTGAAGTTTTGTTCCTGTGGTGAGTTGGTAATCGTATAGTCTGGTGTTATAGTCGGCGCAGTGGTTTTTGGCCGGTGGAGAAGCTTTTGTTGTGGGGGGGGGGGGGGGGGAGATAAACTTTTGCCCTGTGGAAGCAACAGTTTTATTTAGCGACGTCGGTTGTAAAACGGGGTCATGATTTACAAAGAATATTTAAATCCGGTGAATTTAATACAGTTAGGAAAGCCCTGATGTAGAAAACGAATCTGTCAGTTTTAAAATTTGTTGAAAATAAAATACAGTGAAAATGTGAGTAACAAATATTTAATATTAAAACCTTGCATACCGTGTAGTGTATTGGAATATAAATCATGCATACAAACAAAACTCTTTACACTTTGAAGGACAATTAATGCCAAACGCATTTTGTAAACTATGCCTATTACTTACAAAAAAAAATTAATCACTCATTATCTTATTTACTTCAGTGACATCTTGAACCTCAAATAGTGACCTACCCCCAAGGGTGGGGAATACCGGTCAAAGCTACGTCTTCAGTTATAATTTCCTACAGATCTTGTTACGTTCAACGTGTTTTATGCTGCATACTTAAGAAGTAGACCCTTCAGACTAAATACCAATTTATGTAAAGTTTAAACTTCGCGTATACCTTTTGTTTTATCTAGTTTTTCTCTTAAGTGACCGCCAATTGCCCATTCTCCCCTACACAGGAACATGGAGGGTATACGTCTACTAGACTACATCGCGCAGTAGCCCAGAAGACAGCCATTACTTGCCACTCTTGCCAACATTACAGGTGTAACGTTATTAATTTAATGATGCTTTACAGTTGTGTTTTAGTGACAAATAGTAAGATATGTTTGAATGATCGTGTTAAAGGATGTGAAAGATAGTTGTGGCATGTCTTGTTTGAAGGCAGTGTCCAAGAATTCGGTTGGACATACTGAAAAGAACCAGTGGGAATAACCATACTTGCTTCATCTTCTCAGCGGTTGGTGGTGGCAATGGAACTCGAAGAACCCAACCTCCGTGTTGAGCCGGCGACCATTGTTTGCCCGAACTTGGCAGCGATTGTACGCGTCATGGATCTTGACAGCAAAGTTTTTGATAGTGAGAGACTAATAACTGAAGAGGGGAAAAGACTGACACTGTGGAGCTAGGCCATATCGGAGTACAGCGACAAAAGAATGGTAACAAAAGCTGTGGATAGAAGTCCGTGAAGCTGAACTGCCGAACTGGAGCCAACTTGACAAACAAGAAAGTATCTGAAGAATTTCTTTGGATACATACGCAGGTCTTCATATAACTTATGAAACTGGCCTTTCAGCAAATTTTGACTTACAAGTGGATGTACCTAAAATTTATTTCAGAATTTCGTTCTGTGACTCAGCTGCATGAATTTGTTCTTGTTGCAGATGGCCAAGTCAGCATTGTGGTGTTTATGCTTGCCCGCCCTCCTGTTCTTGCTGCTAGTACCACAGGATGTCTCCTGTGCCAGATTCCTGGTCATTATTCCCACTTCTGTGAAGAGTCACTTTCTCATGCTAGAAAAATACATGAAGGCTCTTGCTGATCGGGGGCATGAGCTGGTGGTGGTCAGTCGCTTCCCGCAGATACAACCTATATCAAATTATGTCGATATTGTGTTAGAAGAATCTCTTGGTGGGTCCACTCCAGCATCTGGCGTATCCGTAGAACAAGTCGCATCCATGACGAACCCTATAGTAAACGCCATAGGTCTTGCCAAATTTGGGGCAAATGACTGTGAAGCAGTACTTAATGATCCATCAGTCAAACAACTCATAAATTCAGATGAGAAATTTGATGTTGTTGTCAATGATTGTTTTCACACAGATTGCTTCTTGCCTTTTGCATACAAGTTTGGAGCAATAAGTATATGTGCCAGCACATCTGTGTTAATGCCATGGGCTAATGACCGGATGGGCAATCCAGACAATCCATCATACATCCCAAATCTCTTCACGTCTTATTCGGAACGAATGAATTTTGTTGAACGGGTCATAAATGCTGTAACCACAGTGCTACACAAAGCAGTGTATCACTTCATCTCTGACTGTCCATCGCAGCTGTTGGCACGCAAGTTCTTTGGAGAGGACACTCCTGACCTCGCTGATCTTGCCAGGAACATAAGTTTGTTGCTGGTGAACAGCCACTTCAGTGTAAATGCGCCCAGGCCGCTGGTACCCGGTGTTGTTGAGATTGGTGGCATGCATATCCCCAAGCCTAAACCACTGCCTCAGGTTAGATGATTATTAATGACCCCAGTTCCATTCTAATGTCGTCCAGTTAGAAGGAAGGCATTTGATAGTTTCCTTAACTCGTGGTTTGTCTTATTTAATGGTCACTTCCATTTCATCTACTCATGAATGGCAGAACTGTTGTCGCTTATAGAGTACACATTTGCTTCTGTGAGCTATATATTTTGAATTCGATTTTCATTCAGTATCTGCATAACTACTAAACTCACTCACTCTTCATTTATTTGGCAATGAAATTTAGAAGTAAAATGTAAGGAGAACCATGCATGAAGAAAGAATCTTTTCCTTTTTAATGTATGCATGATCATCCATTTGTAAAACCTCACTAATTTGAATTGACTTCTTTTATGTGTGTATTTTATTTATGATAGACAGAGAATTTGCCTGATTATATTTTGAATATTAACATGTTCATAGAATTTTCTTTTGCATTGCATCATATTCGTATCCTAATACCATTAAAATTAACATATGTTACTGGATTGTCAAAAGTATGACATGAAAATATTTAGATATAATTATGTTTTATAATTCTGCCTTTTCACTTTTTCGGACTATCCATTCACCTTGTTAGTTCAGATTATTGAGGTTTCACTGTTTAAAAATCCTTTACGTAAGACCACATGAAAGGATACTTCACTCAGGACAGAAAATACGGATAATGAGACTTAAAAACTGGTGTCAATTTCCTCCACGGATATAAATATACATTTTCTCAAGATTTAAGTTTAAAATTGAATTGTTCCAAACACTCTAAAATAATTCTCTGGCTGTGTTTAGTCGAAGGATTGTATTCTGAATGTGCGTTGCTCGTTTAAAATTTAACTTTATTATTGTACGCCATTTACCTTGGAAAAGAAATCTGTTTTTATGAAAAATCAATTAAGCATTGATATACATATTTCTAACGCACTCATCAATCGTTAAAATTGTGCCATATGTTAATTCATACTTTTCTAATGATATCAATTAGTAATGAGAGCACTTATTTCTGAAACATGTATGTCATTGTAGAAAATGTAATTATGTGTAAAAACTGTTGATGGTTAAGTAGATTAAATGATAAAATTTGTAAGACACCACGGAAAATGTATACAGTTCATACTCTAGTACCTGCTTGAAAACTGTGTGTATCCTATATGTGAATTATAATTCAACAAAATTAAATAAAATTATCCATATGATTTCAGCACCTACAAGATTACTTAGATGGAGCGCGTCATGGGGTTATCTACTTTAGTTTGGGTTCAGTGATTCAAGCCAAGTTTCCTGCAGGCATTCTCTGAGCTACCACAGCGAGTCCTCTGGAAGTGGGAGGCAGATACTCTGCCAGGACAGCCTGAGAATGTCCAGATCGAGAAATGGTGTCCACAATCTGATATTCTAAGTAAGAGCACCACAGATTTTGTGTACATCTGTTATTCGTTACACCAGACTAGATATATGTCGCTGCCCATAATATGCCTGACGTGGTCCAACGACTGGCAACTGTGATGAGACGAAGGTAAAACAAATGTTCAGAATAAGTACGCACAAGGTGTATTCGAGAGTAAGGTTCTCTTTTAAGAAAGAAAAATGAAGCCTGCTCAGTCATTGTCGCTACAGAGTGGTCGACCAGGGTTCGATCCATGATGGTGGCAGATGATTTTTGCTCTAGCCTCTGCTTCGAGACTGGCTCTGGGGCCCACCCAGCCTCGTATCCAATGGGTACCAGCATCCTTTCCAGGGGCTGACCACTTACCCCCATCTAGTGCTGAGGGTAAAAATGAGTAGGAGCTATATGTCTCTCCCCCAAAGCGCCTACATGGCACAGTGTTCCTTTTATTTTTACTGAAAAGAAAGTGATTAGAATTTTGTTCACGTTTCAACATTTACTCTGTAAATATTCACTAACAGTGCTAGTTTTCTGTTTGAATTTTGACTGAATTTAGCATCTGAGAATGTTATTAAAATTTAGTGATAAATCTCGCGTCTAAACAAGGCAAATAATTTTATCTGCCACTTTAAGATCACGTTTAAAATTATGAATGTAAATATATTGGGGCAGAATTTATAGAACTGAAAAAATGTGAATTGTTATTGCTACAAATACATCTTTGATATTTCATTTTTATAATATGCACATTAAAATTTTTACATCACTCTAATAGCAAAAATATATAACCTGCCATTTTTAGCAAGTCACATCCTTTGGTATTTTTCAATTAGGCTTGGAGATGAAATATTGAAGGTGCAATGTGATTTAAGAATTTTGAAGAATGAGGTTCTCGTGCTGAGATGTCATCTCTTAGCTTCAGAGTTCTCATGAAATGTTGTTTTGCTGTTTATCTTATTTCCCTCTATAAAATTAGATTTGATTCCTGACTTCTCTATTTGTGGTGGAAGCACATGTTTACTTTTCAAATACGATTAGAAGTGTGAAGCTGACATTAAGGAATGATTCATGCCACATTGCGTTAAACCTGATCTGTGTGCAGACTGCCATGGAAATTTTCAATTGATGATTACACCCATGGTGCAAAGCAAGGTTTAGAAGCATATACCACCTCCATCTTCAGGATACGAGTCTACTCTTCTACTCTTAAGATGACCAGTTTCTATTAATTGTGAACTTGTGTAAAATTTCAGAGGTTATAGTTTTATGAACAGACGTACAACATGGTGTGCCACCTAGAATAAGTTTAAATATGCTAGATAATAAACCACTGCTTGTGTTCTCCATTTTGTTACATTCTCTGGGGAAGATGGAATGTTTTGAGTACAATATCGAATTACATGGGCAGATGTTGACGTCTCTGTGGTGGTATCGACAACTTTCTGTACTTTCAGGGCACCCAAATGTGCTTGCTTTTGTGTCACACGGAGGATTACTGGGTACCCTAGAGGCAGCGTACAATGGAGTGCCTGTGGTAGGTATTCCGTTCTACGGTGATCAGAGAAGCAATGTGGCACACCTGAAGGCGAGGGGGATGGCCATCCAGCTGCAGTACGAAAACATTACAAAGCAAAGTGTGCTGGAGGCACTCCGGACTGTGCTTGACCAGCCCAGGTAATGAACATTACGCATTTGTAGCTGTTTACAAGCCAAGAGTTCCAATCTTAGGGTTTAGTCCATTTTGAAATTATTGTGTACAAATCATGGTCAGTTCTTACAGTGTCCTGAAAGAGCAGGATGAAAACGAATGCAAGTCTTGTGTAATTTTATGTTAAATCTGAGAAAAATCTTAACATCTGCTTACTTCCTTCTTTTAAATGCAATTTGTGTTTCTTCTTGTGTGGAAGAACATCATTATGACCTGCATTAAGGAACTATTGCAGCATTCATCTGAAGCAGTTGATAAAAAATGACAAAAACTTCCTTAGCCAGTATACTGAATCCTACACTTGCTGAATATAAGTCAGATGTGTTACTGTTGTGCTAATCCACTCATTGACTTTAGTCAGGCTATGAATCTATTGTTTGAATTGTAACCTTCAAAGGATTTAGTATGGAGCTGCTGAATGACCTTGACCTGAGGGAATAAGAAATTTCGACTATTGTGGCATATGGAATGAAGTGAAATATGTTCATTGCTGTCTAATTAACATTTACGAGTTTCTTGTTTCACAGCTATATAGAGAATGCAAGACGCACGGCGCGTATCTTCCGTGACAGACCTCAATCTGCCCTGGACACTGCCATCTTTTGGACTGAGTATGTAATGAGACATGGCGGTGCACCACATCTCCGCTCTGCAGCCGTGGAACTGGCATGGTACCAGTACCTACTCCTAGATGTCATCGCGTTCACACTGGGAACTATCCTGATATTTATCCTTGCAGTCAGAAAATTTTTTAGAGTGCTATGTAGCTCCAAGAACGTTCTAGTGAAGAAGAAACAGGAATGATGTACCAGATTTTGTTCCCGTAATGAAAGTGTGGATATTCTAGTAATCAATGTATGTGATATATTTTTTTAAGGTTGTTGTGTTTGATAAATTTGAAACCTGTACTTTGATATATTTTTTTGTAATGGGGTGAAAGGGCATTTTAGTTAATATCT